TGTATTTCTTTTCTTTTCTTTCTTTTTTTTTTTTTTTGAGAGGTTTTTGCCATAGGGCACGTGCGCTCGCCAGACAGACAGAGAGAGACAGAGAGATAGAAAGCGAGAAATCACCCCCCAGGGGGGATGGCCATGCCACAATCCCTTCTCCTTCATTCTCCTCTTGGGATCTTGGGCATGCATACACAGGCATGCACACACATGCGCCCGTTGTGAGTTTAAGCCACCGGGTCTGGGACTCTGTAACTGTGGTCGACTACGTGGGAGTCCAGTGTCATAGCCATTACGCTAACTGCTGGTCTCCCTTTGTATTTCTTGAGTCTGGATATTTGAGTGCTTCTCTAGATTTGGAAAGTTTTCTTCCAGGATTTCATGGAATAGATTATCAATACCCTTATTAGTTTCTTCACCTTCTGGAATACCAATGATCTGCATGTTTGGGCATTTAATGGTATCTAATATTACTCATATGTTATTCTCATTTTTTGGGTTATTTTTCAGTCTTTTTAGTGAATTTCTATAGGTCAGAGGTTCTATCTTCTATATCTGAGATTCGATCTTCTGTATAATCTAATCTGCTTTTGATATTTTCAAGAAAGTTTTGATTTCTTGTATTACGGCCTTCATCTCTAACAATTCTGTTTGATTCTTTTTTATGATGTGTATTTCCTCTTTCAGATCATGCAAGAACTTCCTTACCTCCTGGAACTCATCTCTTTTCTTCTACACCTTCTGGAGTTCATTGTCTCTCTTGTCTCTCTGTTAGCTTTGTCACTATGAATATTTTACAATTCTTTATCTGACATTTCCATCAATTCCCTTGTATTGTCTGTGGAGGAAGAGGAGTTATTCTTTTCCCTTAGAGGAGAGATATTTTCTTGATATTTGAGATATTTCTCATATTTCATGTGCCTCTGCTGTGGTTTCTGATCATTTGATGAATTATATGCTTTTTCCTAGTTTCTGCAGTTATATCTGAATTTTCAGAGGAATGCAGGAAGAGGTGATGTGCTGTCTCTAAACATTTCTCTCCCTTTGCACAGCTGATTCACTGAAAATAGAGGATTAATGTGACTGTAAAAGTATTCAGTTTTTTTTGGTTATTGAGCATCTAGACCTGTCTAGAAAATCAGTGTGTAGAGGCTGAGCAGAAAAGTGAGAAAGGTAAAAAGAAAAGGAGAAGGAAAAGAAAAAAGAGGAAAAAAGGGACAAAAACAAAAATAAAGAAAAAATGATTTTTGGCAAAAAATGAAAAATGGTGCTGCTGAGAACTCAAATATAGATGGCTGCTGATTGGCTTATCCTGTTGGGTCAGGGGGAAAGATAAGAATTAAAAAGAGCGGCAGAGAACTAAGAAGTTTAAAAATTAAAAAAATATATATAGAGAGAGAGACAAAGAGAGACAGAGAGAATAAGTAGAATGCTCTAACCTGGCTCCTGGCTAGATCTGAGGGCAGGAGGGGGAAGTCTGGGCAGAGGGTCTTCAGTGGTCCAGATCCACTCTGTACTGTTTTTAAAAATCTGCTCCCAGGAAACAGATTGAGACGGAGAGATGTGTGCAGAGGTTTATTGGGAGTTTTCTTGGGAGAGACACTTGTAAGAAAGTGGGGAAGACAGGGCTGGGCATAGGAAGAAGCTGGTTGTAACTGTGTGTGTGTGTGTGTGTGTTTATTTGTGTAATTCTATGAGAGAGAGAGAGGGAGAGAGAGAGAGAGAGAGAGAGTCCCAAACAGGGTCCTCATGCAGTGATCCATCCCCGGCCTCAGCCAGCTGGGATCACAGAGCACGAACATGAGCTGAGCACACCTGGTGAGCTCAGAGAGGTCCTGGGATAGACACGGGGATGTTCCCATGTGGCTTCAGTTGTGTTACTGCTATCACACTCTCTGACCCCCGCAATGCTATTTTAATGAAGGCTTCAGTTGATCTTTGGGGAACTCTGAAGTGGGGATGGCTCTTAAGTTGTCCTAATTTGAGACAAAAATATGAGCCCTTGTATTCACCATGGACATTATGGGGGCTGGGGGGGGTGCATAATCTTGGGCAAGACAGCTCCCTACTGCCAAGGGCAAGGCTCAGTGTCAGCAGCTGGGAGCTGGATGTGTCAGCCTTGGGGATTATCCAGTACACCAGAGCTTTGCTATCTGGAAGCTAAGTCATTCCTCATGATTCCTCTCTCTCTCTCTCTTTTAAGAGTTTTTTTTCTATAAAGCATGTGTGCAAGCTCGAGAGAGAGAGTGAGAAATACCCCCCTCCCCCCCAGCCTAGAAGGGATGGCCGCACCACAATCCCTTCTACTCTGTTCTACTCTCAGGATATGGGACACACATCTACATGCTCCCGGTGTGAGTTTTAAGATGTTGGGTCTGAGACTTGAACCCATCAGCTACATGGGAGTTCAGCAATGTAGCCATTACACCATCTGCTGGTCCCACAATTTTTCTTTTTAAAGGATGTGGCATCCTTGTTTTCATTTGTATTAGCATTGTCTTTACAGGTGGGATGTAGGTTTCTAGAGAGTAGATGCCATCTTCACTAATGTGTATATATTTTTAACACCGTAAGAACGTTGGAAAACTGTAGTTCTATCAGATCTTCCATAATGTTTTGAAATGGTTTTAGATGATATAGAATAATAGATTTCAAAAGTCAGCACAGAACTACAATGACATACCAATTAATACCTACTGGGATTGGTATAAGCAAAACAATTAGTAACAAGTTTGGTGAGGTTGTGAAGAAACTGGAACCTTCATACAATGCTGGTAGAAATGGAATCCTCAAAAGGTTAAACACAGAGTTAACGTATGCACCATTATATTCCACCCCTAGGTATATAATTAAATTATGTGAAAACACATGTTAGCACAAAACTTGTACATGAAATGTTCATAGTAACATTATTCATAATTACAAATAGGGACTGTCTCCATGGCCTAGTGGTTGAGGCAACTGGATCCCACATGCCTGACTCTGTGATTCAAGTCCTGGACTTGGCAGCTTGAGAAACATGCTGGGTGTGTTTGCATGTGTGCTTGAAATCGGACGAGAGGGAGAGATGGAGAAGGTGACCATGTCCTATAAGGGGCGCTTTCTCCTCTGCCTCTCTCTGCCTCTCTCTGGCAAGCACAAATGCCCTCTAGCACACACTTGTGCATGTACACACACACATATACATAAAACACCCCCAAATGATAAATAACCCAGACGTTCATCATCTGATGAATGGATAAATAAAATGCGGTATGTGTGTGTAATAGAATACAATTAGGAATAAAAAGGAATGAAGTGCTCGTCCATGCTAAAACTCAGATGAATGTTGAAAACATCAAGCTAAACAAAAAAGTCAGAGCAGAAGACCACATATGGTATGATTCCATTTATGTGGAAAGCCTGGAATAGAATATGTCATGTGGGATCTAGCTTTCTCTATAACTTTTTTTTTAAGATGTTTTGCCATATGGTGCTTGTACTTGCCAGAGAGAAAGAGACAGAGGCAGAGAGTGGGAAAAAGAGAAGTCCCTCTTCCATGGGGATAGCCGTGCCATGATCCCTTCTTCTCCATTTTCCTCTCAGGATTTCTGGCATGGAAGCACACATGCCTGGCTTGACTTTTCAAGCTGCCAAGTCTGGGATTCGAACTGCTGTCAGCCATGTTGGAGTCCAACACCTCACCCACTACACCACCTGCTGGGTCCTCTCAGAAGTGCTTAACCTCTGCACTACATGGCAGGTTGTATACACTTTAAATGGGCAACTTGTATGGGAATAATTCTGTAAGAAAAGGAGTCAGTGGAAACAAAACAACAAGTACAGAGGTAGGTAATTTGCAACAGATGGAAAGTTTATTGACATAGGATGATTAAGAAGGAAAACACATTTTTCACTTTAAAGACAAAGCAAAATCAATAAAGACAAGAGGAATATCAGAAATGATTACAGAAGTAGTTGAAACTCTCTCCTCAGGCTTATTGGATTATTTCACAGATTTGTTAAGATTTATCATTTACTTCTGGGGACAGAGCACAGGTGCCTGCATCCCATTCTTATTTGAATTTTACATCAGAACCGTTGTTAACTTGAGATGAAATCAGTTGGCCATTATCTGTCACTGTCCTGGTGCCTCTGCTTTTATTTGAATCTAAAAAAGAAATTGAGAGAATATGAGGGTTAGCTCATAAATCATGTATTAAAATGGATTACTGTAGCCCAGATTTTTAAGAATAAGAAAAGTGCATTTTATTTTTACTTATTTATTTATTTTTTGAGAGAGATTGCTGCTATAGGGCATGTGTGCTCACCAGAGAGACAGAGATAGACCAAGAGACAGAGAGCGAGAGGGAATGGCCATGTCGCAATCCCTTCTCAAGGCGAGGGGGAATGGCCATGTTGCAATCCCTTCTCCTCCATTTTCCTTTTGGGATTTTGGGCATGCATGCACATGTGCCTTGCGTGAATTTTAAGCTACCAGGTCTGGGACTCGTTCTACAGTCGACTAGGTGGGAGTCCCGCGACCTAACTATTAGGCCATCTGCTGGTCCCTCTTTTATTAAAGAGGATCCTCACTGAATAAGCAGAAACTATTATTATAAAAAGGCAACTCTACCTCGTGAATGAGTTGTGCTGGTTTCTCCTCTTGAGTCCACAGAGAATGATCCTCTAGATCCAGTTCCTTTGTTCCCAGAACTGCTGAGAAATAGAAAGTGAAAGAAATGATTGTCCTCAGGCCAGCCAGGTGGTATGGTGTTTAAGGCAGAGGGATCCCACATGGCCAGCTGAGCAGTCTGAGTTCCGGACCTAGTGACTTGGAAAAATGACTCTGGGAGCACGTGCATGTGTGCCCAAAATCCTGAGAGAGAGTGGAGGAGAAGGGATTGTGGCATGGCCATCCCCCTGGGGTGTGGTTTATCACTTTGTCTCTCTGTCTCCCTCTGCAAGTACACCCACTCTATAGCAAAAACTTTAAAACAAAACAAAACAAAAAGATTGTCCTTATCTTTGGCCAAAGAACGATAAAGAAGCAGATCTACTTTCTGTTTCAATGGAGCATGTTTCTGTCAAAGGATGCTTTATTTGAAACTTCCCAAAAGTTTAGTCACTGAATTAAAAACAATTCCTTTTTTTTTTTTTTTAAAAGAAAATGTGCGAAATCGGGAACCAGCAGTTAGTGTAATGGCTATGTCGCTGGACTCCCACGTAGTCGACCGCGGTTCGAGTCCTGGACCCGGTGGCTTAAAACTCACGCCGGGCGCGTGTGCGTGTGTGCCCAAGATCCTGAGAGGAGAATGGAGGAGAAGGGATCGCGGCATGGCCATCCCCCCGGGGGGGTGATTTCTCACTTTCTGTCTCTATGTCTCTCTCTCTCTCTGTCTGGAGAGCGCACGCGCCCTATAGTAAAAAACCTCTCAAAAAAAAAAAAAAAGAAAAAAGAAAATGTGCAAAATCAAGGTATTGGTGGCTTACCCTCCATCAAGCAGGTGGCGGTAGGTCTCGATCTCCATCTCCAGGCGTGTCTTGATGTCCAGCAATTGCTCGTATTCGGCGTTCTGGCATTCGGTCTCGCCCCTTATCTGACAGATCTGCTCCTCCAGGCAGCTGATCTTCACCTGGATTTCCGACAGCTGAGCCATGTAGCCCGCCTCTGTGTCAGCCAGGGTCCCTTCCAGGGAGCATTGCTACAAATGTATGTGCAAGTTGAAACAAAGATGTCAGAATATAACTTCTCAGCACATGAATGCTGAAACATACCCTGTTTTTGTGATAAAGGTGCCTCAGTGAACCACTTAATAGAGATTTACCTTTGATCATTACTAATAATAGTAATAACCAATATTAATTATTCAAAGAGTGCTACTGTAAACAAGATAGCACTGCCTGTGCATTGCTAGGTCTGTTTAAAATGTTTTATAAATGTTAACTTCTTTGATCCTCACATTATTATTAATATTTTTGAACCAGTTTTGCGATAGGGTGCGTGCGCTTGCTGGAGAGACAGAGAGACAGAAAGCGAGAAATCACCCCCCAGGGGGCATGACCACGCTACAATCCCTTCTCTATTCTCCTCTCAAGATCTTAGGTATGCATGCACACGTGCCTGGTGTGTTTTAAGCTGCCGGGTCTGGGACTTGAACCGTTATCAACTATATGGGAGTCCATTATGCCATCTGCTGGTCCCTCTCACATTATGAAAAAGGTACTATTTTCCCCATTTTACAATGCCAGTGTTCTGCCAACATGTTTCAAAATGTCTGCGAAACAATTTCTTAAAGCTTTGGGAGTAAACTGTGAGTGCCCCCCTCCTACCGACCATGGCCATGGCAGACTGCAGTTCAATGTGGAGGGACTGGAACACCCGTCTCAGCTCTGCGATCTGGCTCCTGGCCGAGCTTGCCTCTCCAGCATCCGTGGAGATCTGCTTCTGCAGGGATGCACTCTGCAAGAAGGAAATCGACAAAGGACCATGAAATCAAAGAAGCCCCAGCTTTGGCACCTGGTTCTTTGGGTTCTCGCTCTTGGTCAGCCATCAGCCACCTGCTTGTTGAACTGCTCCTCGGCCTCCCTGCGGTTTTGCTCAGCCAGCTCCTCGTACTGCTGCCTCATGCTGTTCAGCAGCTTGGTTAGATCTGGCCCTGGGGCCGCATTCATTTCGACATTCACATCCCCACTGGACTGTCTCTTCAGAGCGCTCATTTCCTGGCAGAGAGGAAACGCGAACGTCACAGGAGCAAAAACACTTTGAGGTTGGAAACCCATGCACACGTGCCTGGTGTGTTTTAAGCTGCCGTGTCTGGGACTTGAACCGTTATCAACTATATGGGAGTCCATTATGCCATCTGCTGGTCCCTCTCACATTATGAAAAAGGTACTATTTTCCCCATTTTACAATGCCAGTGTTCTGCCAACATGTTTCAAAATGTCTGCGAAACAATTTCTTAAAGCTTTGGGAGTAAACTGTGAGTGCCCCCCTCCTACCGACCATGGCCATGGCAGACTGCAGTTCAATGTGGAGGGACTGGAACACCCGTCTCAGCTCTGCGATCTGGCTCCTGGCCGAGCTTGCCTCTCCAGCATCCGTGGAGATCTGCTTCTGCAGGGATGCACTCTGCAAGAAGGAAATCGACAAAGGACCATGAAATCAAAGAAGCCCCAGCTTTGGCACCTGGTTCTTTGGGTTCTCGCTCTTGGTCAGCCATCAGCCACCTGCTTGTTGAACTGCTCCTCGGCCTCCCTGCGGTTTTGCTCAGCCAGCTCCTCGTACTGCTGCCTCATGCTGTTCAGCAGCTTGGTTAGATCTGGCCCTGGGGCCGCATTCATTTCGACATTCACATCCCCACTGGACTGTCTCTTCAGAGCGCTCATTTCCTGGCAGAGAGGAAACGCGAACGTCACAGGAGCAAAAACACTTTGAGGTTGGAAACCTTGTTGAACAGCGCCATGGGAAGGCCCCCCAGGGATTTAGTGCTCCTACCTCTTCATGGTTCTTCTTGAGATAGGCCAGTTCTTCTGTTAGGCTCTCAGACTGTATCTTAAGGTCCGATGTGGTCACATTCAGCTCATCAAGCACTTTTTGCAGGCCATTTGTATCTGCTTCAACTGACTGGCGTAGACAGAGTTCATTCTCGTACCTTAAAGACATTTGGAAGATGATTTACAAATCAGATGAATGACTTTGAGAATCTTTATTTTTAAAAGGATTTGCCCACGACCATCCAACTCAAGGTGAAATTCTTCTTTTGAAATATTTCAACAAAGATGATCAAATCACATTAAAATGCACTAGTTTTAGAATTAAACATATGAACTTGCTTGGCTTTTTCTCCCAGTGTAGATATTCTGTATGAACAGACTACATTTGTCTGATCTTTGGTCAGATCATTTGTCTGATATATAATTATATTACTACATTGCATTTGTCAGATACTAATTGCCTGGATTAATTTCTTTATATACAATTTTACATTAAAATAAAAGTCTTGTTTGGTGCCACGGTAATGAACGATATCCTGAAGCAAACTCACTTCATTTTGAAGTCATCTGCTGCAAGTCTAGTGTTGTCAATTTGTGTTGTTATGTTGGCGTTATTTATAGTGGCTGCAATGATCTAAGAGATAAAAATAGGAAAAACTTAATAAACTTTTATAGACGTATGTACATAAAGATATATTTTTTGCTAGAGGCTGTACATGCTCAGCAGAGAGACAGGGAGAGGAGTAGGTGCTCCACGTGGAGAGTGGTCATGCCTGCAACCCCTTCTCCTCCATCTCTCTCCCCTTTTGGGGCTTTTAGGTACATATAACCACACTCAGTGAGTCTCAAGCCGCTTGGTCTGGGACTTGAATTACCAGGTTGACCATGTGGGATCTGGCTGCCTTAACTGCCAGACCATGGAGCCAGCCCTCAGATATACTAACTGAGCATATTTATGAGTACAGTGTGATTTTTTTTAGTACAAGAATGCAATGTATAACAATGAAATACATCATGACCTCAACCATTTTCATTTCTGCTGGAAACATTCAAAATCTCCCCTCTCCCCCCTTTTATGAAGGTTCCTTACTCTGAGATACGTAGTAAACTGCTGTTAATTACATTCATGCTGCCGTACTTGGTAACACTAGAAATTGTTGCTTTTATATATCTGTAATTTTGTTTCTATTATCCAACAACTCTCTAACCTCCCTCCCCCATGTTCCCAATCTCTAGAAGTCCTTCAACTCTACTTCTATGAGCTTATTCTTTTAAAAATATATAATCACTGATTTATATTTAATTTTCAAGAAGTAGTTGCAGAAAATATTTTCCAGTGTGAATTATATTCTAGATGAATCTAGTGAGACCATGGAAGGTTTCTTTCTTGTTTTTTTTTTTTTTTTTTTCTTTTTTGTTAAACTAAAATTATATCTGAATTTATTTTGCAATTCAAAATTCAACAAATGATGAAAGAACAATTTCCTTCCTTCCTTCCTTCCTTCCTTCCTTTCTTGAGAGGTTTTTGCTATAGTGCACATGTGCTTGCCAGAAAGACAGAGAGAGACAGAGAGACAGAAAGACAGAAAGAGAGAAATCATCCCCTGGGGGGGATGGCCACGCCGCAATCCCTTCTCTTGCATTCTCTTCTTAGGATCTTGGGCATGCACACACATGCACCCAGCATGAGTTTAAGCCACCGTGGTTGACTACACTGGAGTCCAGAGACATAGCCATTACACCATCTCTTGGCCCCTGTAAAAGAACAATGTCATATTGTCCTACAATTTCATAAAGAGATCCAAAAGAAGTGTCACTACCGACCATCTCACCTGGTTCCTGAGATCTTCAATTATTGGGTAATATTTGCTATAATCTCTTCCAGATCCAACATCTCCAGCTCCAGGCCCAAATTTCTCATACCATTCCTTGATTTTGAGCTCCAGGTCAGTGTTGGCCTCCTCCAGGGCCCTGACCTTGTCTAGGTAACTGGCCAGGCGGTCATTGAGGTTCTGCATGGTTTGCTTTTCACTTCCAGAGAAAAGCCCCCCATCGCCAACACCACCTCCCATACCGCTGCCATAGAGGCAGAAACCTCCAGTAGCACCACTGCCAAAGCCAGAGCCCACACCAAAGCCAGAGCCCCCACTGAATCCAGGACCCCCACAGAGTCCAGAGCCCCCACCATAGCCAGCCCCAGTGCCTGAGACTCCTCCAGAACTACCCCCTACTGAGCAGCTACCAAAGCCCCCTCCAAAGCTGCCTCCAAAGCCACAGCTCGAGCCCCCACAGCTGCCAGTTCCTCTTCGGAAGCCTTGGACAGAGCTGGCCCCCGGGCCACATCTGCTTCCACCACTGAAGCTGCTTCCACCAGCAGACACCCTGACTAAGTTGCAGCCTCCAGCCTTGGCTGAGGAGACGCGAGATAAGCAAGACATGCTGCTGCTGCCGATGGGTGGCTTGTCCAGGTGTGAGAGACGGAAAGAGCAGTGCACGGACCTGGAGGCCTCTGGTCTTTATATACAGAGTTTCTTGGGAGTTCCCCTCATGGGGTTTCGTCATCGTTTCACAGCTCTAATCCATTCTCGGTTAGTTTATGCTGCGTTAACGTCACCCTCTTCGGGCCAACTAATATTGGAAAAATTGGATAAAGGTGGAGTTAAATTAGAGTTGTTATTTCATTAGAGTTCATTAGTGCTCCACAATCTGTTATGTTCTGCCAATCATTTTTTTTTTCATCTTCATAGAAATCTGTAGTTGACAAATCATACCTTTCTCTAGGTCCATTAAACTCTACTATGCCACGCTGGGGGAATGATTAAACTAGATTTCAGTGTTAGTCACAGTTCAAATGCAAGTTTTACCCAGGAGTGGTTTGTCAGGAAACTTTCTTTCTTTCTTTTTTTTTTTTCTTTTCTTTTAATCCAGTGATAATGACGAGGTGCTTCATAGTCCCTTCACATTTTTGGGAACACGTTGAGCATTGTAACTCTTCTTGCAGAGGGGAAAGCCTGACTTTGCTCATTTACGTGGAAGAGCTTTGAATGCAAGCATGCTTGATAGGGTGGAGTTGTTAGTGAAGTGTTGTTGTAGAGTTATCCTACGTAAGGTATTCGAGCAATAGTAATGCCGCTTTTCTGCCACTTGATTCAACAGCCAAAATAATTTTTTCTCTTCTTTAAATCCATTAGTTTGGGTTTAATTTTTTTTTTAAGAATGGTTTTATTTAGCTTTAATTATTTATTTAATTTGACTAGAGAGGGACAGAGTGAGAGAGCGAGAGAGAGAGAGAGAGAGGGAAAGTGAGAAATCGAACCACCAGGTCTGGGACACAAGCTATGGTTGGCCACGTGGAAGTCCAGCACTCTCAACCAACACACCACCTGCCAGCCCCAGTCTACGTATTTTTTTTTTTTTAAATAGCCAGTTCTTTTTCTTGTAACCACAGTTTCCATTAAAAATAACTCTGAAGGTAATAGTTCACTTTGCTCATTAATTATGGGTATGATATTTTATTTTACTATGAAAAGGCAAATCTGTAAGAGGCTGATTATTTTACTTTGCAGATTTACCTGGAAAATATATTCTATGGAGATACTGCACTTTTTCTGTAGCTCCCCTTACATAATCTACCACAGTGATGATGTAATGATGCCAGTCATCTTTTTAAAATAGAATTATTGACTTAATTTTATGAATAATAATAATAATTTTAAAATTTGCTGTAGAACATGTGTGCTCATCAGAGAGAGAGAAGGAAAGTGAGAAAGTTAGCCGACAGGTCCGGGACTGAACCATGGTCAGCCATGTGGGAGTCTAGCACCTTAACCACCATCTCACCTCTGGTCCTGATTTCAACCATCTTATAAAGGAGATGCCTCAGTAACCATGAGATGATGACAACAAGTGTATAGTTTTACGATATTCCCAGAAGGTTTTCTTTTTTTCACTTTATATATCTTTTCCATGAGCAAAAGCTATATATAGAGAGAGAGAAAGAGAGAGAGAGAGAGAGTGTGAAGGAGAGAGAGAAAGAGAGAGAGAGAGAGAGAAGAGAAGAGAAGAGAAGAGAACCTCCAACAGAGCTCTGATGCCATGATCCTCCCCAACCTCAGCCAGCCCCAGATTGTGGGCACACTCATGCTCAGAGAGGTCTTCAGACTTGAACTAGGGTCCTTCCCACATGGGATTGTCTCACAGAACACCACATTCTACCACTTAGCCACTGTCTAAACCCCCTCCCCAAGTTTTTGTTGAGGAATTTTTAACAAAGTTTTCCTGTGTCCTTCCATTTGGTGTTTATTTTCTCCTTCCTCTGTATACTCCTACAGCTGTTCCTCTAAGACAGGGTTTTCAGTTTGTTGGAAACGTCATATCTGGCATAGTGTACTGGATTAAAGAGCTAAAATGCAGGCTAGCCTCAGTGCCAGGGGACCTCAGAAGATGGAAATGCTAATGGTTGGATAAGTGTCAGAGAAGATTTTCCGGGCCTTGTGTAGTGGAAGTGAAGGACCAGGAGTTCACTAGCAGGTAACTAGTGGGCAAAGAGATTTCTAGACATTGGGATCATTCATCTTTACTCATAGATTATTCCCAATTATTCTAAAAAGGTCTAAAATTATAAGAAAATAAAAGAATGATGGAATCTTCTAGTGGGATGATGAAACTGAAACAGATCATCACTGAAACATTGTAAAAGTCTCCTCAATGCATTGCCACTCTATCAGTTTTCAAGAAGGTGTGGAAGGACCAGCCTTGTAGCACAGTGAGGAAACCCCGCCATGAGGAGCTGGATGTCACATGGTCAACTGTGGTTCAAATCCCCATCCCATTGGTCTGAGAAACGTGCTGGGTGCAAATGCATACATGCCTAAGGTCCTGATGGGGTGAAGAAACAAATTGCATGTGACCACCATCCATGAGGAGTGCTTTCTCTCTCTAGGAAGTGTACATGCCCTCCATCAATTAAAAAAAAGTATAAAAGAAATATATCGACACCATCTGAAGTCTGGCTAGGGGTGGATTACAGTGCTGGCACCCTGTTGGGGCTACGGTCTCTCTGTCTCTCTTACTCATGGAAAAATTTAACATATTGGATATTAATAAATTAAAGATAGATGGGGCCAGCAGGTAATGTAGTGGTGAACTGCTGAACTCTCACATAGCTGACCATGGTTTGAGTCCTGGACCTGGCAGCTTGAAGCTCATGCAGGGCACATGTGCATGTATGCCCCAAATCTCAAGAGGAGAATGGAGGAGAAGGGATTGCAGTGTGGCCATCTTCCCTCAGGGAGGTGATTTCTCTCTTTCTGTCTTTCTGGTGAGTGCACACACCATATAGCAAAAATCTCTCTCAAAAAAAATTAAAGATAGGGATTTGATTGCTTCAGAGTGATTTACTTTAGGCAAAGATAATTTTAATGTTTGTTTTATTTATTGATCACATTACATTTTGTATAAAAAGTTAGTAGAATTAGTTCAAATGCATCGTGCTATTTATAATAAATATAGTGGTTTATGTTTGGTGCTAGGCATTGCTTCATTTATTTACTATTCATCTATTCACTTTTGATTCTATTTACTTACTGTTCAATTTATTATTCGATTTATTATTCTATTTATTTATCGAGTATCCTATTTATTTATTTTACTATTTATTTCTACACTTTATTATTCTTTTATTATATTTGGCTATTTAGTTTATATTTTACATGCTTGCAATAAGTCAACTTTCGTTAATTATGAACTGAGCATTTTATAAAACCATTCTGCTACCCCTTGGGAAAAAAATGATATTACAGTCCTCGCTCTTCAAAACCTTAGTGTATAATTTTTGTTGTATTTTATTTATCACAGCAAATTTTTTCTCATGTATTTTTCAGTGCTGAGACAGTATCAGGAAAAATAACACATTTGTTTCCTACTGAGTAGCAACAGGGAAAGATGATTTCCTAAGTGTTGACCTAGATGTAGACTCTGGGTGGCAGATGGCTGCCTTCTCATCTCCCCCGGTTGCCAGGCAGCTGTCCTAGTTAGACACCTGGTTTCCATGTCGCTTGAGCTCCAAAGCTCACTTTGCCACCCCTCTACCTGCTTCCAAATCACTTTCTGTCACGGACTTTGCAAACGTATTTTGCTGCCCTGTAGAACCTACATGCCTCCCTAGTTTTCTGCTGTTGTTCTCCTGATAAAATCAAGATGCCGTCTGTCATCCGCTGCCAAAGACTTATGCCACCTCCATACAGCCTGGTCGCCCAAATTTCTTTCCACTGCCAAACTGTGGAGACCAGTGTAGGAGATGCCGGGGAGGAGAACATCTATGTTCCTGTTGCTGGTTGTCGCAAACTGTTCAGGAATGCTAACATCGGAAGGGGACATCTGTTCTATATTCATTCAGCAAATGATTACTGAGCATTTTTTTTTTTTTTTTTTGGTGACAGACACTTGAGCTGAGAGTAGCGCTAGCACTTTGATAGAGCTGTTAGATTTCGGCTCAGCTACCTGTGGTGTAAAGAAGCGATTGTGTAATTTTACACAATCCATACCATTTTACACAATCCATACCATTGTTTTTGTGGGAAAATATATTCAAATTCCAGAAGGTCAGCCTAGGATAGCATCTAAAAAATCCTGGAGCTACATTTTTTTTCACTTGTCATCTGTTTGCTAGCTGTGCAATCTTGAGAAAGTGATTTCACATCTCTGTGCCTCTGTTTCTTCATCTGTAAAGTGGACGTTAGTTCCTACTTCATGGGATTTTCATAAGGATTAAGTAAATTATAGTTGTAAAGGACCAAGGGCAATGCCTGGCATACTGTAGATTGTGACCATTAGTTAAATAAAAACATCTGTAAACAATGCAAGCAATACAACCCCCTTTTCAAGTGAAGACTGCTTTGTTTCTAATGACAGATGCATATAACCAATAACTGTCCTGCTCTTGCCCATTTAAAAAATCATCTGGAGATTTTAATCACTGCAACAGTTATCTCAAAAATAGAAAGCAAGATTTTAGGGCATGCCGCAATTAAAAAAGTTATTTTAAAATGTCACAAAACTATTACTTACAATAAAGAGGTTGAGGGGCTGGTAGTTAAGGGAGCCCGATCCCATATGGCTGACTGTGGTATTTGAGTCCTGCCCTGCGGTTTGGAAAACACTGGGCTCATGTGCGTGAAAAACTTAAATCCTGACAGGATGAAGAAATAGAGAAGTGATTTTGGCATGACCCTGCCCCATTCTGAGTATCTTTTTCCCTTTTCTGTCTTGATGTCTCTCGGGTAAGTGTATGTACTATAGCAAACTGAAAAAAAAAAGATGTTGAGGGAGGTAAGATAAAGAAAATAGATCTTGTTGTAGGACTCTTTACACATGAAATTCAGTATTCCACCCTTAAATACCATCTCTTTATAGTGGCTTGAACACTACCATTGTATAT